AACAAAGGCTGGAACACAAGCCTGCTACAAGGGAAACACAGAAAACGAGGAGTAATACCTATAATAGGTAGCCATACACCTCCCCCACCCTATCCTCCCCCCCCTACCTACCAACCAATAGGCTACGAGCCTCACCTTCATCTAGTTAAAACCCCTCCTAAATATCGTAGCTAGAAACAACCTACTTAGATACTTGTAGGCCTAAAAACCCTACACGTCTTATATAGCCCTTTGGGCTGAAAAAGGACGTTAAACTAGAATAATAATAATAATAATACTACGTAAACTAGATAGTAAGCCTTTAGACAAATGCTAAGTAGAGTGGTTTATTACTTATATAGACGCAATTAGAATAGCCTTTAGTTAAGTAAAGGATTATTAGAGAACTTAATAAGAGAATTTAGAGATTATTAATGCGTAGTTTGCGCTTATATAAAAGATAGTTAAGAAGTATAGAGTTTACTTAGATAATATCTATAACTTTTATAAAACTAGCTCTTAGATAGGCGTAATTAGCTTAATAAAGGTAGTTATAGGCGCAGAGCGTCGTACAAGGCCTACTCTTACGCAGCTAGGCAATTGCTAGTAGGTTATAGTTATCTAAAGCATCTACGCTATAGGATACGCTACTTTGCTATTTATTATCTACAAGGGACGTGTCTATATCTCTACATAGTATAAAAAAGCAAATATTCTATATAACTAGAAGCTTGTAGTATTAAAGAATAGCTAGACAAATAATAAGCTTAGTCTTATGTAGTTAAAGCACTTTAATAAGTATATAAAGACGCATTAGGTAGAGTTATATAAGCTACTTATTCTTAATAGCTATAAGAGCTACCTTAACTAAGAATCTAAGGATTACTGCTTTATATAAAAGATCTTCACCTTCTATATACCTACTTATTTATTTTATATACTTTAGCTACTTAATATTATTTACTTTTAACCTCTTAAGAAGAAGTACTCTTAACGCGTATAAGACTTAGTACGCTACTATGTCTAGCATATTAATAAGGAGCGCTTCCTTCTTGCCTTTTAAGACGCGTTTTTTAACGTATTTATATCTCATAACTATCAAAAGGCCTTTAAGGTAATAGGGCTAGTCCCTAGTAACGCGTAGAGAGTTATTAATTACCTTAATATACGCCTTTATACTCTACTATAAGAAGCTTAGCTAGAAAGACCTTAGATATTAAGAACACTAAGTAATTTATATAAATTTAGGTTATAATTAAAGCTTATAAGAGAGTCTTTTCTATATTTACTAACTACTATATAAGAAGGCTTTTAAAAGCTTATTAAAGGGGCTAAAGAGATGCTATATAAAAATGTGCTTATAAAGGCCCACGTAAGAGAGCTTAGAAAGTAATTAGTAGTAGTAATATGTTACGAACCTGAGGGAGGAAGGCACAGCGGTTAAGTTGAAAGGAACGACGACAGCCAGTCAACCCCGCCCTTTGTAGAGCAAGGAAGGATCACGTGACCTCCTCGGACCTCTATGCGCGAGGAAGAGTCTTGGCAGACTCCTCGTGCATAAGCCACAGAGGAAAGCTCCTCGTGCATCAGCCACCGAGCAATCCTCGGACTCCTCTGACCGAGGGCTACGAGCACCATAGGTATATAGCATAGGCAATGTAGCCCTTATAGCTCATTGTGTTTAACTTAAGTTACGAGTACAAGTACAATACAAGAGTTACTTGCAAGAGACACTGTTCATACCACCCTGTTGCTTCATCCGCGAAAACCAACCTCAAGAGTCTGACACTAGAAGTCTTATATTACTTCCACTCAGATCCTACTCTTAACATAATAAAGCGCTAAAGGCGTAAAAGAAAGCAGTTTTAGATAGGTAGAACACTAGACTTTAGTATAAGAGCATCGCAGGTAGCTAAAAGTAGTTCTACTAGTTGTACGATATCAAAGAAAGCACGTAGTAAGGGTAGTTAAGTAAGGGCCCTACTAGGTTAACAGCACTATAAAACCTATAGAAAGATAGGCTATAACTGTCGTACGTGCTAAAAAGATGTAGAAGTAGATTCTTTTTTAGATATAAGTAAGTTATATAAAGCATCTATAGCTAGTGTAGAGTAATCTAAGTTTTTGTATATAAAGTTCGTGATGCTAAGAACAAGTGGCACACTTAGTGATGTGGCCCGCTTAGTGATACATTACGTTATATATATCAGAGGTTATAAGTCTGTATTCTTAATCTTCGATTCTTACCTCTAAGGTATATTACATTGCAATGGGTAGAAGCTTTGTATGATACTCTATGTGTCTTCTAAGAACATTTTATACTTCTACACATAACGTATTCCATCACCGAGCGGGCCACATCACCGAGTGTGCCACTTTTTCTTGGCATCACGAACTTCATGTACGAAAACTTAGATTACTCTACACTAGCTATAGATGCTTCGTACGACTTACTTGTATCTGAAAGAGAATCTTCTTCTACATCTTTCTAGCACGTACGAGAGTTATGGCCTGTCCTCCCACAGGTTCTACAGTGCCGTTGACCTGGTAGGGCCCTTTCTTGACTACCCTCACTACGTGCCTTCTTTGATGTCGTACGACCAGCAGAACTACTTTCAGCTACCTGCGATGCCCCTGCACCAAAGTCTAGTGTCCCACCTGTCTGAATTCGCTTTCTTTTGCGCCCTTGGCGCTTTGTTACTGCTGCTAATTGCTCTTCAAGCTCTCTTACGCGGGCCTTTATAAGCACATTCTCATTTAGCATCTCCTCAGCCCCTTTAATAAGCTTTAAAAAGCCTTTTTGTGCAGTAGTTAGCGATCGTACGAAAGACTCTCTTATAAGCTTT